TGAATCCAGATTGATCTGATTTCATTGAACACCAGTTTTTCCCCCATTACCCAACTGCTTCTTTGTGTCACATGCCAAAATTTTGGTCACCAGGTGGCCTGGTCCATCAGGAAATCCTCCTGACTTTGGTCTCTTCTTGAAACATAACCCACTGTCTGGCCTTCAGGACCTCAACTGCTGTTCTGGTCTGAGCCCTGTTGTGTCTTACTCCGGATGTTTTGTAATTATCTTCCCATCTGGCCCCCCGACGCCCATCCGTGCCTGTAGCTCCCACAGTCTGCTCGCAAGAGCCAGAGTGATCTTTTTAAAACAAAATCTCGTCATCTCATTCATTCCTCTGCTGAAAAATTCTTCCAAAGTTTCTCATCCCTTTCAAAATGAAATCATGCATTCTAAGGACCACTGGTGTTTCAATTTCATACTTCCAAATTATCTGTTATCCCTATCTCCCTGCTGCTTCCTGACCCCCTTGAAGTTCCTGACCCACTCACCTCGGGGCCTTTGCACTGGCGGTTACAGCTCAGTGTGTAAAGCTCTTCACCCACAACCCCTGGTTCCAATCTTCACTTGTGTGTCCCCACATCAGTGATGCCTTTCTTGACCAACCCATTTGTAAAAGCAGCTTCCTCCACCAATGTTCTTTATCCTGGCTTTTCTTCCCTTTTTTCAACATCTGTCAATATTGTACACCACTTTTATATCTGTGGCCTGTGTGCCCCTGCTAAAATTGAAGTTCTGCAGGATAAGTGACTCCATTTTTGTGCACAGTTCTATTTCCAGTACCTAAAACATTGTTCTAAGTAGGTGCTTAGGAAATCCTTTGTTGCTTAACGCTGCTTTTTAGTGCAATTTCATGGGTTTTCCTATTGTTCCTTGAATATTAATCTACGAATTCCACATATTTGGAGGTATGTTATTTCTGTCAGTAAGCATTTATCAAGGATTTTCTCTGTGCAAAGCATGCTGTTTTTGAACTCCTTCATTTGTTATTATCATGGGAACCTTTTTCATTGTCATGTGACCAGGGATCTCATGCCAGCAGCAGAATACCTTCCCCCTCAACATTTTTTAGAAAGTCCGAGGATTGCTACCAGAATCAAGGGCCCTTTAATAAAAATTAATTTTCCGCTTCGTAAGTCAAGTCATACAAATACACATGTATAATTATTTAGATCTTCTGGGCATCGTGGACCCAGAAATGTTGGACAGATGCACAGAGTGAAGGAAGGACGTTCTCCAGCACAGCCTCATGGAGCCGCTACCACTACAGCCACCGTGGTGGATTTGCTGCTTGTTAACAAGGATCGCACACTAGGTCTAGAATCCCATACTGGGCAGGTCAGCTGAAGCCTGGTGGCCTCTGGATCTACATCCAGGGCATTTTGTAAGTTTTTCTGGTCATTTTCCAATTTGAGATTTGTAGCTAGCACTCAGTTGGCTAGTATTTATCGAAGACGTTCATCCATGTACAGTTATAAGGCACAGCTGGAGTTGCTACCCTGCAGCTCTGGACAGCTGTCTGCCCACCACTCCATGGCGTTTGCCACAGCCATCCTGTTCTGAGACAAGACCCTCCTCAATTTGTTGAAGACCATATAACCTAAGCAGGCTACCTCAGTGGGTGAGAAAAGGAAGATCAATTTTCTATCTGCAAGGATTTTTTAATAACCTAAGCAAGGAAAAGCCTCAGCAGACTTGCTCTGTGGCCTAACTGATCATTTTCTGTTTGAGATTCTAAATTTGAAAACCCAGACATTTACTCACATCTGTAGCTGTCAAGGTTGGATTGCTTCTGAGCTGCCAGAATTGGTAGTGGGCAGTTGTTGAGCTTAGAAAACCTATGAAAGTTGTTCTTTCCCAAGTACTTGCTATAAAAATCTGAGTATCTTCTTGACCGTTTCCCTGGGGATGGAGGCATGGGTTAATTATTGTTGACTGGGTTTCTGTTTAGCAATTAAAAGATAAATCTCAATTGCTTTGATAAAAGATAACTTTTTTTTAATTGGAAAGTCAGATATACAGAGAGGAGGAGAGACAGAAAAGATCTTCTGTCTGCTGATTCAGTCCCCAAGTGACCACAATGGCCAGAGCTGAGCTGATCCAAATCCAGGAGCAGGAGCTCTTCGCGGTCTCCCACGTAGGAGGGTCCCAAGGCTTTCAGCTGTCCACAACTGCTTTCCCAGGCCACAAGCAGGGAGCAGGATGGGAAGTGGAACAGCCAGGGCATGAATCAGCCCATATGGAATCCCGGTCCATTCAAGGCGAGGACTTTAGCTGCTAGGCTACCATGCCAGACCCAAAAGATACTTTTTGTATTGTTATCATTTAAAAGGCAAATTTACAGAGAGATGAAGAGACATTTCATCTGCTGATTCACTCCCTGAATGACCTCAGTGGCCAGAACTGAGCTGATGTGAAGGCCGAAGCTAGGATCTTCAGGACTCCTCCTGGTCTCCCATATGGGCACAGGGGCACAGGGGCCTGAGCCATCCTGCACCCAGTAAGCAGGAAATTGGGTCCGAAGTAAAGCAACCAGGACTAGAACTGACACACATACGGCATTGCAAGGCAGAGGATTAGGCTGTTGAGTCACCGTGCAGGCTCCAATATAAAAGATATTTCTTTACTTCCCATAAATTGAATTACTCCTTTTAGATGGCTTGGCAAATTTTATATAATATCTGCTTAAATAGCTTAAATTCAAGCTTCAGACTACCTAAAATTTTGGTTTTAAAAAAATTCTCATATTTTCAACTTGCTGGTATAAAAAATTTTCTGGACCATAGCAGCTGAAAAGGACCCAGATGCTGTTTTTCAGAGCCATCCATCCTGAAGTGTTCTTTTGCTGACTCATTCATGGAACACAGCTGTTCACTGGTCTTTGTTGTGTACTAGCTGTTGTTCTGAACCAGCTCTCGAGGCATTCGGCCTCGTAGTTAGGGTGTGGTGTTGGATGCCCACATCTTTTATAGGAGCTTCTGGGTTGGAATCTTGATACAGCCCATTTATGGTACTTAGTTTTCTTTTTATGCTTTTTATACCATCCCCCCCCCCCACACACACACACACACCACTACTTTTCACCTTTATTAATTTGAACCACGCAAACCACCTGTTTGTTTGTCCGTTTACTGCTGCTATTCCCTTATTTGCTTACCTGGCAAACCCTTCCATCTCCTTTTAAGATTTAACTGAAAACCTGTGTCATCTCAGAATCCTTCCCAGAGTCCCAAGGCCATGTTAACTGCCTTAATTTCAAGCCATTGTAGAAATACTCTTCTGAAATACAATTTACATTTCTCAGTTGAAAAATAGAGCTCAGTTCCTTAGTGAATGTTTCTTGGCCCCACACCCAGAACCGAGGATTTCCCTTGATGTTTTTCATGGTCCAGCTGAATGGTAGATTAGCCTGTGGCACCATCAAGCGGTTCAGGCAGGCAATGCAACTTAATTCTCCTGGAAGATCAAAGTAGTCCAATGTAAATGGATTGAGAGAGTAAGGATGGATGGATGGCAGGAAGGAACAGAGAATTCAAATGCAGTTGAAAAGCCTAGTGATCAGACTATCTTGAGAAGCTCAGAACTTTACAATACACCTGCTAGGCTTGATGTAAGCCTAAGGGGATGTTTTCCGAATCTTCACCAGCAAACCAGAGGGACAGAGATGGGCAGTGATTTACTCCTGTTCCTGCACTGTTGGAAACCAGAGCATGTGCACCTTGCTTTGTTTGATTAATCTTTCCTGATTTATTCATTGAACTCCATCTGTTTGAGTTATCTCTGTTCTCATATACCCTTACCTTGCAGCATAAATGGTTTTAAAATTCAAGACATTTTCGGCAAAGAAAAAGAACTTTTGTCCACTAAGAATGAATGTATCCTGGTCATTCCAATAAGCAAATTCTCAAAAATCAAAAATTGGCTAATCAGTTGGCTCTAGCGTGGGTACATCTACTTTATGTGGATTTCTGCCAGGGGCCAGGCTCCTGGGTTCTTGGTTTCAGCACTCCTGTCAAGCAGGATAGGCTGTAATCATAGACTCATGGTTGCATGCGGGAAAAAAATTCAAAATTACCAAAACTCACACCTAGACAAAAAGACAAAAACCCAGAAATAGGGAATCACTCCTTCTGGCGTCAGCAGGAAGGAGACCCACAGCGGGAACAGACCTCAGTTTTGTTTGATGGAAATATTTCTGCTTTGATCACCCTGTGTTGGAAGAGATCCTTCCCTGTAAAAGCTGTGTCCTGGTCATTTCTAACCTTTCCTCTCCCAGATGGAACTCTGGTACCCTACTCTGCCCAAGTTCTTCCAGACTACAGAAGGAACCTCTTATCGTGACTAAGGACTCACTATGATGGTGTCCCCACACACTCTGATGAGTCATGTCCAAACACTGCAGCATGGCAAGAAACGTAACCTTAGAAAAGTTTCTCTGAAAAGTCAGTCAGATTTGTCACTCTCCCTGCCCTGGTATGTGTCAGTTAGGCAAGCAGTTTCCATTATTTTTATACTGTCCCTCCTCTCCCCACCCACCTTCCCCCCAAGGAAAAGATAAAGGGTTGCGCCGGGGGTGGGGGGCCCTAACCCAACAACAGAAAATCAGAAGCAAAGAAGTGGGAAAGCAGGCAAGAAAAATGATGACTTAAGGTCAAGAAAGTGAAAGATATGTTTTGGAAGGACCAAACCCAATAGAACGAGCTTAGTGACCTATACGTTACAGAGAACTTGGATTATCTCTTTTGGAAAATGAAATGTGAACAATCTCCCACTTGGTGCTTTTTAAGACTTGCCCTAGTCCCAGGCACTGTTTTGTAGAGTGATTTAGGACCATTTGTTTTATGCCATCACATATTCTTTCAACCAGGCTTTAGCTAACTGCTTCTCTTGTCTTTCCTCCCCGGACACAGTCCTTAGATTTATTACTAAAGAGTAGTTGGCCCTCGCTGAAACGTGTGAGTCTGTAACCTTCCTAATTAGGGTGTGTGCTGCCTTTCCAGAGTGTCCTGCCATACTATGTGGCTACGAAGCTGGCTAAAATCCGGAAACCAACTTTGGACAAGCCCTCCCCAGAGACATTTGTGAAGGCTGCACTCCAGACAGTCGGCTTAGACGCTCGGACGAACGGCTACCCGATCCATTCTCTGATGGTGAGTGGGTCTTTACGTCCCTAAGCAGTAGCCTCTCCCTTGGGGTTTTCTTTCCCAGTGAATCACAAGATGGCAGAAGCTATAAAGCAGGTCTTCAGAAAGTCTGTGGGAATTGAGTTATTGTGAAACAGCTCTGCATGGGTTTCAAATTTTTTGCACAAAAAAAATTTGGTGTTGCATGAACTTTCTGAGGTCCCATCATGTTAGCATGTGTACAATATTAGCAAGACATCTGTCTTCTATTTTAAAACTAAATTACACTCACAAGAACATTAAAATCTACTTGTAAATTAAAAAAAAATGTATAAGAAGAAATAAACTGAAAATCTCCAGTTCAGCCTAAACTGTAGATTCTAATTACATTTTTCCTCCATTCCTCCCCCCCTAGGGCTCAATACACTCACTGCTGCCTACGTGGCTTTTTGCAAAAATATCCATGAATATACACAAGTCCCTGCGAGCTCGCTATCTGAAGAAAAACAAGAAGAACTGAGCACAGGGGACTGCAGCGGGTACCTCGGTCCTTACACAGCGCCCCCGGCCAGTCTGCAAATGTCACAGCTGTTTCAGTGGTTACTAACTTGGCTAAATTTTAACCTCCTTTGGGAGGAAAGCAAAAGTTGCTCTGAGGAGCTCCTGACTTCTATTCTGGATGCTAATAAATTTGAAGCTTGATGTAAATGCTCGTGTCAAATGGATAAAGAACTAACATGGCCAAGAGCAGCTAAGCAGGAAAGAGCATAGCGACAGCAAACCACGGGCTGCCAGGCAGGCCTCCGGCCACGCAGGTCACCTGGTCCAAGCAGCTCATTGACAAGCCATCATTCTCGCGTTTTCTCCGAGCCCTACCGTAAAACGGGATGGCTGGCTGCTCTTGCTTGGCTTTAACACTTTGAGGGGATGGAGATTAGCTGGTTCCATAATGGGCAGACCCACCACAACTTCAAATAGATCTATGGAAGATTTTCTAGGAGTGGGTTCCAGTCTGTGCGCTTAGATGAAACTACTCTTTCTCAAAAGAAGTGCCAGAGATGTAATTGGGAAATATAGTTATTTTGGACACCTGGAGCCCACTGAAGCGTGCTTTTTAGTATCCCTGTTATTTTTTTTCTCAGTTCAAGTATATGTAAATCCCAGAAATCAGCTGTTTGTGCGATAAACGGGCCAAAATTACACCTTGTGACTGGCAGCTACCTATGGTGCCACTGACACCCCGACCCTGCAGTGACTTGCTTGCACCCCAGCCTTCTGTGTTTCAGTACTATATCAATATTGCTCACATGTGTAACAACAGTTAACTTTCCTAATGATATTACGCCCCTGGAAATGATAGTATACTTTCTAAATTGGTACCCGAGAGGTTACTGATGTAATTGGTTTTAATAAAAGATGATGTAACCATGGCGTTGAATGAACGTCTGCTTTTCTGATGCTGGATTTCCGTGGGTTTAATGTGAGTTAAAGCTGACCTTTACTCACTCACATAATCTCGATGGGAAAAGGCGTCAAGAAAGAATGGGAGGCCAAAGGCCACAGACCACGGAAAACAGCCTTTGCTGAGGCGGTGGTTCCTAGATTACACTGAAGAAAAAAGGTGTGTCAGGGTGGTTGTTTCTAGCTGTTAATTTTGCCAGTTAAGGATATAACAGATAGGGGGAAATTTGCCATCTAATTATCTGCATCATTCTGTTTAAAACAAAAAAAGGGCCTGGAGCAGTGGCTCAGTGGCTAAATCCTCACCTTGCAAGCTGTTATCCCATGTGGGCGCTGATTCTAATCCCGGCTGCTCCACTTCCCATCCAGCTCCCTGCTTGTGGCCTGGTATAGCAGTCGAGGACGGCCCAAAGCCTTGGGACCCTGCACCCGCATGGGAGACTCCAAAGAAGCTCCTGGCTTCAGGTCAGCTCATCTCTGGCCATTACAGCCACTTGGAGAGTGAACCAGCGAATGCAAGATCTTGCCTCTGTTACTCCTCTCTGTAAATCTGCCTTTCCAATAAAAATAAATCAACAAAAATAAAGTAAAATAAAATGAAGATTTTAGCACCCCAAAAGAAACAAAAATCATAGTCTCAGAATAACAAGGAGTTTAAATTGAATACACAGAGCTCGATGAAAGAACACATTGCTCGCCGGCTTTCCTGTCTGCTTCTCTGTGGAAGTGCTGGCCCGCAGTGACCTGGGCAGTATCTTACGTGTCCTCACATGTTGGTTGGCTGGCTGGTTGTTTACGGTGGTAGTTGTTTTTGGCAGAGAGTTGATAGACATGGAGAGATTAGTTTCCAGATACACAAAGCACTTTTATTTTTATCACATTTAGAAAAATCATAAGTGTGGCTAGGAAATCCCTCCACAATTTCACAGGTGCTGTACTCTGCCTTTGCCTGCTGCGACCTGACAAGCACCCTCTTTGACACTCAGGAATGAAGATGACGCCACGAACATGTATTTTTCAAGGCGTGGGGAATTAAAATTGTGTTGAAAGAGAAAATACTGTACTCCAAACCATCAAAATAGTGAAGTGCTCCTTTACGGATTTTAACAAATGTTAAGATTTATATTAATTTATGAAATGTAACTTTTGGGCTCCCAGTGTGGTAGCATAGCAGCTGAAGTCCTCGCCTTAAATGTGCCAGGATCCCATATGGGTGCCGGTTCGTGTCCCAGTAGCCCCGCTTCCCATCCAGCTCTCTGCTTGTGTCCTGGGAAAGCAGTCAAGCACAGCTCAAAGCCTTAGGACCCTGCACCCATGTGGGAGACCCAGAAGAGCTTCCGGCTCCTGGCTTCAGATTGGCTTAGCTCTGGCCATTGCGGCCACTGCAACAGAACAGAAGATCTTCCTCTCTGTTTCTCCTTCTCCCTTATATATGACTTTCCAATTTAAAAAGTTGAAATGGGGGCCTGGCGCAGTGGCGCAAGTGGTTAAAGTCCTCACCTTGCACGCCCGGGATCCCATATGGGCGCCAGTTCTAATCCTGGCAGCCCCGCTTCCCTTCCAGCTCCCTGCCTGTGGCCTGGGAAAGCAGTCGAGGACGGCCCAAGGCTTTGGGAACCTGCACCCGCGTGGGAGACCCGGAAGAGGCTCCTGGCTTCAGATTGGCAAAGTATCAACCGTTGCGCTCACTTGGGGAGTGAATCATCGTACAGAAGATCTTCCTCTCTGTCTCTCCTCTCTGTATATCCGCCTTTCCAATAAAAAAATAATAAAATAAATCTTAAAAAAAAAAAGTTAAAATGAATAAATTTTTTTTTAAATTTCACTTTTTGTTGGTTTGATTTTATGTTCTGATATATGCTAGATAAGATTTGAACCCAAAAAGAGTAGAATGAACTATAGTGTTAATTGTATCAGTAGAGTTATCTTTTCTTACGAGGTAAAAAGCTTTATTTTAATGTATTGCTCTTTTTTTTTTCTAAGATTTATTTTATTTTCATTACAAAGTCAGATATACAGAGAGGAAGATCTTCCATCTGATAATTCACTCCCCAAGTGAGAGCAATGGCCGGTGCTGCGCCAATCCGAAGCCAGGAGCCAGGAACTTCTTCGGAGTCTCCTACACAAAAGTGCAGGGTCCCAAGGCTTTGGGCCGTCCTTGACTGCTTTCCCAGGCCACAAGCAGGGAGCTGGATGGGAAGTGGAGCTGCCTGGATTAGAACAGGCACCCATATGGGATCCTGGCGCGTTCAAGGTGAGGACTTTAGCCGTTAGGCCACAGCGCCGGGCCCTAATGTGTTCTTTTCATTGTCCTTTTGCATGGAGGAATAAAATGTTCCCCCTTAGGCATGTAGGGGGAGTTGTCCGACACACCTGCTTCTTACCATTCTGATTCCCCTCTGCCTTCCCACGTGCGTGTGGAATCAGTGCCGGCTGAAGATGAGATTGTTGGCCTCCAGTTCCTTACATGAAGCTAACTTTTAACATTTCATTTAGAGGCCGGTGCTGTAGCAGAGTATCTTAAGCCTCTGCCTGCAATGCAGACATACCAAGTGAGCTCCACCTTGAGTCCTGGGTGCTCTGCTTCCCATCCGTCTCTTTGCTGATGTGCCCAGGAAAGCTGCAAGAGATGGCCCTAGTCATCGGGACCCTGCACCCACATGGGAGATCCAGAAAAAGCCTACAAAAAGTGAAGAGTCCACTTAGGTAGCACAGAGGGAAATGACCCACTAGCCCTTAACTTAGTAATTGTGGGTGCACTGTGATTTAATTCATAATAACCTGTTATTAAATGCTTGCTGAAAGGCATTCCAACCACATGAGGAAACATTCCCTGCCTTAGGTACATACTTGACAGTAGTTTCAAAGGAGCATCATTCTGTGAGATGGAAAATAAGGGGAGGAAGGGAGAATGAGTGTTTAATGTCTATTGCATGCTTTAAACTGTGTGCAAATGAACATCTAATGTTTATTAAGCTTTGCAGGCCTATGTGATCCATTTCCTTTCTGTGTCATCTCCCTACACTTTCTCACTTAGCTTAAGAGATTGAAAAAAAAAAATGGCTTCAGTACTCCACTCTTTGCAACAGCTGCATGTAAGAAGTAGTTTTGGGGGGCCCGGCGCGGTGGCGCAAGTGGTTAAAGGTCCTCGCCTTGCACGCCCGGGATACCATATGGGCACCGGTTCTAATCCTGGCAGCCCCGCTTCCCTTCCAGCTCCCTGCCTGTGGCCTGGGAAAGCAGTCGAGGACGGCCCAAAGCTTTGGGACCCTGCACCCGCGTGGGAGACCCGGAAGAGGCTCCTGGCTTCGGATCGGCATAGTATCGGCCCGTTGCGCTCACTTGGGGAGTGAATCATCGGACGGAAGATCTTCCTCTCTGTCTCTCCTCTCTGTATATCCGCCTTTCCAATCAAAAAATAATAAAAATAAATCTTAAAAAAAAAAAAAAGAAGTAGTTTTGGGGAAGATATTTGACCTAGATCCCCACGTACTGTATGGGAGTGCCTGGGTTCAGTTCCTAGCTGCAGCTGCTGATTTTGGCTTCCTGTCTATATACTCCCTCAGAGGCAGTAGTGGTGTTCCACCGACTGCGCTCCCGCCACTCACATGGCAGGCTTCCTAGCTCCTGGACGGGCCCAGTCCTGTCCAGGTCAGGCCATTGTAGGCATTTGGGCGGTGAACCAGCAGGTGTGAGCACACATGCTCTCTTTTTCTCAACTTCCCTCCCTCTCTCAAAAAGCAAACAAGTTTGCTACTTTGAACACTAAGTGAAATATAAATGATTTTGTACTTCTCCACCTTGACTTTAGGAGTTCTTGCGTGTTTGTCTGCGCAGCCTCCTCTTCTAGTACCTTCTCTGTGCTACCACTACTAGAACATGCCTGGCAGGCATGTTCAAAGACAAGACCACATGAAGAGACTGGTGTTGTGGTTCAATGGGTTAAGCTGCTGCTTGGGACACCAGCATCTTATATGAGCGCCAGTACAAGTCCTGGCTGTTCTACTTCCAATCCAGCTCACTGCTATATGTGCGTGGGAATGTGGCAGAAGTTGCCTCAAGGACATGGGCTCCTGCTGCCCATGAGGAAGACCAGGATGGAGTTCCTGGATCCTGCTTTGGCCTAGGTCCAGTCTCAGCCATTGGGGACATTTGAGGAGTAAGCCATTTCTTTCTCTTTCTCTCTTCCCCTCTCCCTTCTTCTCTTCCTCTCTCTCTTCTTATCCTTTTTCCTGTGAAACTCTACCTTCTAAGTAAAAAATAAATAACCTTTTTTTAAAAAAGATTTATTTTATTATTTTTTTATTGGAAAGGCAGATATACAGAGAGGAGAGACAGAGAGGAAGATCTTCTGTACGATGATTCACTCCCCAAGTGAACGCCACGGCCGATGCTATGCCGATCCGAAGCCAGGAGCCTCTTCCGGGTCTCCCACACGGGTGCAGGGTCCCAAAGCTTTGGGCCGTCCTCGACTGCTTTCCCAGGCCACAGGCAGGGAGCTGGATGGGAAGCGGGGCCTCCGGGATTAGAACCGGCGCCCATATGGTATCCTGGGCGTGCAAGGTGAGGACCTTAACCACTTGAGCCACCGCGCCGGGCC